GGATTCACCAAAGAAGGAAAGAAGTCTAGCTCTCAGAATAGCTAAAGGAGCAGATCTGGAGGACGATGAAATGGCCATGATCACAAGAGACTTCAAAAAGTATTTGATGAGAGGAAAGGGTTCTTCTAGAGGTACAACCTTCAACAAACCAAGGGCTCCTAAGAAACAGACCAACGAGGGTTGCTACAAATGCGGTAAGATTGATCGCATGATCAAGAACTGTCCTCAATAGGAAATTGAATGGAAGAAAAAAAGTGCTGAACGAAGGAACAGGAATAAGGAACATGTTCAACCCAAAATAAATAAAGGTTCAACAAAGGCTATGGTTGCTGCTTGGGGAGAAACATCAGATGAGGACTCAGAAGATGAAGTTGGAGACGAACAAGCACTTATGGCCATCAGAGAATTAGATGATGAACAAGATGTTAGTGTCCTTCATCTCAAAGACAAGATTAAATTCCTGTCTAAAGAAAGGTTGTCTGAGCTATTGCTAGACTTCATTGATGAGTTTGAGATAATTAACAATGAGAAGGAAGATCTATCTAGGGAGTGTGTGATCTTAAAAGCCTAGTGCAAAAATCTAGAATCTAGGGTTAATGAGAGTGATAGTAAAAATACTGAGTTGAAGAACCAGGTTCTTGAATTTGACACCAGTGTCTTAGAACTTAGGTCTGAAAACTTAAAGCTGAAACTAGAAACAGGTAAAAGGAAAGCTGATTACACACATCTCGCCCTAGAAGAAAACTTAGGAAAAATGAAGGATGAGTTGTACATGAAGGATGAGAAGATAAGAGTCTTAAAAGAAGACCTAGGGAAGGTAAAGCATGAACTATATAGAACTTGCAAATGGAATAAGGCTTCTGATGCACTTTCCTTGCTAAAAGAACATCACAGTAGCAACAAAAAAGGACTTGGCTATAGGACTCAATCACCTAAATGGGACCCTAAAAGCAAGTACCTCACTCTTCCTAAGAACAAAATTTGCACACACTGCACCAAGATTGGCAATTACAAAAATGAATGTAATGCAAAAGAAAAGGCCAGTCAAAAGAACAAAGCTTTTGTTCAAGAGAAAAATAGGCTGCCTAGGTAGGCTAAAAGGAATTTGATTTACCCTTTTACCTATAGAAAGGGACCCAAACTAGTTTGGGTTCCTAAGACTAACCCTTAATTTCCTTTTGCAGGTCCAAGTGAAGGGAAGCAGCCAAATATGGTACGTGGATAGTGGCTGCTCAAAGCATATGACTGGAAACAAGAACCAGTTCCTTTCACTTGAGGACTTAAAAGGAGGTAATGTCTCCTTTGGAAATGGGAAGAAAGGTGAGATTATTGGAGTTGGAAAGGTAGGTAAGATAGACTCACATTCCATTGAGAATGTCTACTTGATAGATGACTTGAAATATAGCTTAATCAGTGTGTCACAACTGTGTGACAGAGGTAACCTTGTAGCATTCACCTCTGCCAAATGCTTTGTGATTAACCTTACCACTGACAAGATTGTTTTGCAGGGAAAAAGAGTTAACAATATTTACATTGTAGATTTGTCCACTCTTTCAGAAAATGAACTCACTTGCTTAAGTGTGTTGGATAATGATCCCCTCCTGTGGCACAAAAGACTTGGTCATGCTAGTCTGAATCAACTCAACAAATTAGTCTCGAAGGACATGGTGATAGGGCTACCTAACATCAAGTTCAAGGAAGACAAAGTTTGTGAGGCCTGTGCAAGGGGGAAGCAGGTAAGATCATTCTTTAAAAATAAGAAAATGGTAAGCACAACCAAGACATTGGAACTGGTTCATATGGATATCTGTGGTCCAATGAGAACATTGAGCAGAGGTGGTAAGAAATATACGATGGTTCTTGTTGATGATTATTCTAGATTTACCTGGGTACTATTGTTAACATCCAAAGATGAAACATTTGACATGTTTACTGCTTTTGTTAGAAAGACTCAGAAACAACTAGGTAATCAACTTGCATCCATTAGGTTTGATCATGGAACTGAATTTGAAAATGCTAAGTTTGCTGAATTTTGTGATGAACATGGTATAGATCATAACTTCTCTACCCCTAGGAATCCTCACCAAAATGTAGTAGTTGAAAGAAAGAACAGGACCGTTGAAGACATGGATAGAACTATGCTTCTTTCTAGTAAACTGCCCCACAACTTTTGGGCTGAGGCTGTAAACACTGCATGTTATATTATCAATAGATGCATGACTACACCTCTTGTAGAGAAGACTCCCTATAAGTTACTTAAAGGGAGAAAACCAAATATATCCCATCTTAGGGCATTTGGATGCAAGTGCGTTGTGCATAATAATGGAAAGGACTCCCTAGGTAAGTTTGATCCTAGAAGTGATGAAGGAGTATTTTTGGGATATTCTTCACATAGAAAAGCATATAAAGTGTTCAATAAAAGAACTTTGTGTGTAGAAGAAAGTGTGCATGTAGTGTTTGATGAAACTAACATTCTTTCTAAGAGACAAGAACAAGAAGATGAAGCCATTGGTCTGGTAAAGGATTTGACTGATGTCTCAGCACAAGTTAAAGTGGCACCAAAAGAAGGAACATGTGATGGAATAGGTTCGTCCATCCAGGGCAACCTGACAGGGGGAACTGATCAAAGAGGAATTGAAACCAATCCCCTAAAAGAACTTGTTCATGACCCTGTTCCTCAGCAACGGAACATGGAAGAAATATCTAGCAGAAATCAGTTGGTTGTGAAACCTCACAAGTATCAAAGTTCTCATCCTATTGAGAACATAATCACTGATCCAACATCTGGAGTCAAAACTAGATCACAATTAAAGAATCTGTGTGCTTTTGATGCCTTCGTATCTCTTATTGAACCTAAAAATGTTGTTGAGGCTTTGTAGGATGTAGATTGGGTGAATGCAATGCAAGATGAACTCAATCAGTTCGAGAGAAGTTAAGTTTGGCATCTAGTTCCAAGACCCAAGGACAGATAAGTTATTGGCATAAAATGGGTCTTCAGAAACAAACTTGATGAATATGGAACTGTTACAACAAACAAGGTAAGACTGGTGGTCCAAGGTTATAGCCAAGAGGACGGTATAGATTATGATGCGACTTTTGCTCCAGTTGCAAGACTAGAGGCAATAAGAATCCTCATAGCCTTTGCAGCACACATGGAATTCACTCTCCATCAGATGGATGTCAAAAGTGCCTTCCTGAATGGCTACCTAAAAGAAGAAGTGTTTGTGAAACAACCTCCAGGGTTTGAGAGCAAGGAATGTCCTGAGCATGTGTGAAAATTAGACATGGCTTTCTATGGACTCAAGAAGGCTCCTAGAGCATGGTATGAATGACTGTCCAAATTCCTGCTTGAACATGGCTACAAAAGAGGTAAAATTGATAGTACCCTATTTTTAAGGGAAAAAGGTAAGGATCTCCTTGTGGTACAAATATATGTTGATGACATAATCTTTGGGGCCACCACTGATAAACTAAGTAAGGATTTTGCCAAATTAATGGGGAGTGAGTTTGAAATGAGCATGATGGGTGAACTTAACTTTTTCTTAGGCTTACAGATCAAACAAAGCCCAAACGGAACCATGATCCATCAGTAAAATATGCAAAAGAGCTGATCAAAAAGTTTAAAATGGATGAATTAAAGAAAATAGACACCCCCATTGCAACTGCCACTAAATTTGACATAGATGAACCCGGTTCATTAGTTGATCAGAAGTTGTATAGGAGTATGATTGGTTCACTTTTGTATCTTACTACTAGCAGACCTGACATAGTTTTCAGTGTAGGACTTTGTGCTCGCTTTCAGGCTAATCCAAAAGAGTCTCACTTGAATGTTGTCAAGAGGATACTAAGATATTTGAAAGGCACCACTGATCTGTGTCTTTGGTACCCTAAAGGTAGTAATTTCAATCTAGTAGGATATGCTGATGCTGATTATGCAGGTTTTCTTGTGGATAGGAAAAACACCTCAGGTATGGATCACTTTCTTGGTTCATGTCTTGTATTATGAGCCACTAAAAAGCAAAATTCAGTGGCCTTATCCACTGCTGAGGCTGAATATGTTGCTGCTGCCTCTTGTTGTGCTCTATTGTTATGGATCAAACAGCAGCTGCTAGATTTTGGCATTGAAGTTGGTTGCATTCCTATATTCTGTGATAACACTAGTGCTATAAGTATGACAAAGAACCATGTTCATCATAAGAGGACTAAGCACATAGATATTAGACACCACTTCTTAAGAGATAACTATGAGAAAAGATTGATCTCCATAGAATTATGTGCTACTGATAAACAAATTGCTGACATCTTCACTAAAGCACTGAGTAGAGAAAACCTTGAGAGGAACAAGTTGGAATTAGGGATGATTAAGATCACCTAATAGGTCCAGCTCATAATGTACAATGAAAAAAAATGATTTTTTTGGCTAGTAACTCTGAACTTGTGTAAATATCTAGATTAATTCTTACTCAGCTTCATACTTTAATTAGTATACTCCTGTGACATGTGTTAATATGACTCACTGATCTCTTACAAAAAATTTTCTATTATGACATTTGAGGCATGTTCAAGAGAATTATAAATGAAGAACCTGGTTCATCAGTATGGATTCATATGAAAGCTAAGGTATGTTTTCTATATTCTGCACAATTAGAAAGATTAATATTTAAATCATGAGCAGAAGTCCTATAATTATTCAATTCCTAGAAAATTCTATCCGTTAGCTTTGAACTAGTTCCGTCTGCCTAGAACTCTAAACCGAAGAATTGCCTAAAATCTAGGGAAGATAAAACGATCATTCAAAATCTGGAATTTTAGGGTGATTAGACCTCTAATTAACCACTGCCAAAAGCTGTCGTTACCTATTAAATGTGTATTTCTCTTTAAATACACATCATTTCTTCTGTCTTCTCCATAATTCTAAACCGTCAAAAATTCTTCTTCATCTTCACTTGCCCTCTTCTCCAAATCTCCAATTCACAAATTCTCTCAAGAAACCAACGATCATGACCAACCCACAGGACAATCCTGCAACTCCTCCACCACCCACTCCCTCAAATTCATTTATACCTCCTCCACCTAGTACATCACCAAAACCCAAACTGAGAAGGGTGAAAATGCTTGCTCGAAAGACAGTAGTGTCTAGGGCTTAGAGGAAGAAATTAAATGAGAAGTTGAAGGCAAGCCAGACCTAAAACTCCAATTCCAGTTCTGATTCTGACTCATATCAATCCTCCACTAAAGGGGAAGGACCTAAGTCTTCTGACTCTGAAAAGACTTAAGAATCTCCTTCCAAGGTAATTTTTTCTGTGTCTGAAAATCTAGAAACTAGGTTTGTTCTGGTTGGGTCTGTTAAGGATGTAGAATTACCAAGGTTACGAAGGAGTGGAGGTAAAAGGAATTCTGAAAAAGAAAAAAAGAGAGAGGGTGCATATGGTGAAGAGAGGGGAAATGAGAAAAAAGAGGTGCCTACTATCTGTGGAGTGGAACAAGAAAGGGTAGAAGAGAGTGACAAGAAGTCAGGGGAAATGGTTCTGGGGAAGCTGCTGAGGGGCTGATTAATCTGAGCACACAAGGTGATGAATCTGGTTCATCTACTAAAGAGACCCTAGCAGACTTGCTGAAAATGGTTGGGGCAAGCTATGACCCAAAGAAACGCAGAACTCCCACACCAAAAGCCCCAGTGTTCCTAAGCCTTCCAAGAAAAGAAATGATTCACCCCCACCAACTACTGTACTTCCATCACCAAAGGGTAGAGCTACAAAAATCAGGGTGAGGCAGAGTGAGAGTGATCTCCAGAAAGCTCTAGATGAGAGTAAGAAGAAAAGGCTGGCTAAAGGAAAGGGAAAGGGAAAGGTTGCGGAGTCCTCAGTGGATGTGGAGGTTGAGGAGATGGAACAGGTCCATCAAGAGGAAGTTCAAACAGTGGAGGTTCAGACCTCCAAGCCCAAAAAGCCCAAGACTTCTTCCAAGAAGTCTTCCTCTGTGTTTGAGGCTACTGAACCTTCCCTAGCCAAGACGACAAGGTCTGCTGAGAAAGGAAAACAAGTGAAAATTTCTGAAGATGAAGAATGGAGTGGAGAAGAAGTAGAAGATTCTGATCGTGACAAGGACAAGGTTACCATGTTTGGCAAAAGAAATATCTAGAAGGGTAGACTGCTGAAAGACCTGGTGGAGCTAGGGATGATGAGACTGGTGGATGCCTTAGCTGCTCAGGGGTGGAAGGACAGGGTCCTTCAGATGGATGGTAGGCTAGCCAGGAATGAAATAATTGAGTTCATGGCAAATGCAGAGGTTCAGGATGGCAAGGTCAGTAGTCTGATGAAAGGGGTCCAAGTGTCCTTTGATGCAGAAAAACTTAGAGAAATCCTTGATATACCCTCTAAAGGGTTTGATGATTATACAAGGCAAAGGTGGCCTTGTCTGGACTCCCTTCCTAATGCACTTGATATTACCAGGAGATTTTGTAATGCATAGAATGTGAATGAAGCCAGGGTTGTTCAGAAAAGTGAACTGAGGCCTCAACACATGGGCTTGTTTGAATTTGTCAACAAATGCTTATTGCCCAAGCAGGAGAGAAGACACATCGCCAATTACTTGGACCTGGTTCTTATGGAGTGCCTGGAGAGTGGAAAGCAAATCAATTGGCTTGCCTTCATTATCAAGCTGCTACACAGGGTCATAAATGGCTCCAAGGCGCATGCTACTCCTATGGCTTTATTCTAACCACGATTCAAGATATGCTCAATGTGCCTCTGAAGAAATGGTAAATGGCCTCAAAAAAAGAATATTTTGGCATCAACATTCTAATTGCTTATGACTACTTAGTCGGTACCATCCCAAATGAACCAGGTTCATCCAAGAAGACTCCTATCAACAGCAAAGTCAGGGCTCTGGTTCAGGAATGTGAAGCCAAGGATGCTGAGATATCTAGGCTCAAGGCTCGTGTGGCAAAGGTGGAATCTGAGAGGGATACTCTCAGAACTGAGCTTACCAAATAAAAGGAGAAGAATTATGAAATTCTTCATAATATGTTGAACCTTCTCCAAGCCCAAAACCAACCCTCTAGCTCCTCCAAGCCTTAGGATTCCTAGCGTTTGTCTTCAGAACTTGTCTAGTACCTCAGTGACCCAGATTAGGGATTTTTCTATCTTTTTTCTCATGGTTTAAATGTTTTTCTTTTTGGTTGTGGGTTGTGATGGAAACATATCTCTATCAATGATAACTACTGTTTTGCTCTTGTTCAATGTTAATCTTTCCTTGATAGTTTAAATATGTTTGCTTGATTACTGATGATTAAACCATGAGTGCACTTGCAGTTGCCCTAGTGGCCATGAGTACTTATTAAAATCTGGATCTCACACTATGCAACTTTTCGATGATGCCAAAAGGGGGAAGAGATATCATGCTTTACATATTCTGAAAAAGTGATATTTATAACCTAATTAACCTGGTCCTTGATGATAAGTGAATTTACTAAACTTTGTATTGATGGTTAAGCTGAGTGCTTACAGGATCCATATAAGTAAAAAGCACATAGTTTGTCATCATCAAAAAGGGGAAATTTGTTGGCCCAAGAACAGGTGATGTTTTGAAGACTGACAAAAGAACTCAGACATGGACTAGGTCCATCTTGTGAAGCACAGTCATGATCAGCCTGTACATGTGAGATGCACGTGAATGAGATAAATCTAACTGATCAAGATACAATATCTCCTGATCTAATCAAAAAGGTTTCATATTGGATAAGAAGAGAAATACTCCTTATATGAAGAGAACATATTTTAGGATGAAGATAACGTTATAGTTTGAGATCATCATGAACTCTACGATAGAAGAATAACAATTGAATCTCACTCAAACTCTGATTACTAACCTATTAAATTTCAGTTGTTCTCTTTTACAGGTAATGCACATAAGCAGAAGTTAAACTTAAACTGAGAGCAAAAGAGCAAGGCGATTTTGCAAGCAATTTATGTGCGATTTGAGTGTGCAATCCTGAAGCTACTTGAATGAGATTGAAGGACTAGTTCCATTGTGTCTATCTTTTATTCTAGTTTAATTGTAGTAGGTGATTTAACATTGTACCTTTTAGATTTCATAGAAGCAATTGCATTAGGTTCCTAGAGTGTTCAAGTTATAGCTAACTTGAAGTTGTCGCAATAGTTGAGGCTGTGTGCCACAACGGGATTAGAGTTAATCCTTAGGTTTACAAAGAGTTTTTGTAAATGCTGTTTTGGCTCAGTGATTTTAGTGGAAGTTTGGAAAAATCTTATTGAGTAGTAGGTCGTGGTTTTTTCACCTTTTGAGCCAGGTGTTTTTCATGTAAAATTGTTGTGTTCTTTATTTTCTATATTTAGTATTCCGCAAACAGTAGTAGTTGGAACACCTAGAAGAACCAGGTTCTTCTATAGTTCAGTTAAGCAAAAATTGGGTGCCACACAAATCACCCCCCTCTTGTGTGGTATTGACGCTTAAAACATATGGTTCCAGCTCAGATAGTTCTGGTGGGCCCAGTTTAGGTCCCAGAGGGGTTTATTGCTACCCCAGTAAACCAGGATGCTCTGGTCCGCCTAGTGGGCCTTATGGAGAGTGTCACTTGGGCAGGCTTGCTACCTGTAGCACCAGCCGTCTCTCAGGCTGGAGGAGGAGCCCAGACTCCTGGTACTCGCATTCCAGACCATATGGCTCCCCAATTTCAGACTCCAGCAGCTCAGCCAGTTGGAGCAGTTCAGCCGTGTGTGGTAGCTCAGACCGGTGATGGAGCAGCTCTGTCTGCCGATGCTTTGTGAAGATTGGACAGGTTCACCAAGCTCTTCACTACTATTTTCAGCGGTGCATCTTCTGAGGATCCCCAGGATTATTTAGACAGCTGTCATGAGGTTCTCAGGAACATGGGGATAGTGAAGACCAATGGGGTCGACTTTGCTACTTTTTGCTTGTTTGGATCCGCCAAGACTTGGTGGAGAGATTATTGTTTGGCTAGACCAGCCGGATCAATAGCTTTGACTTGGGAGAAGTTTACTCAGCTATTTCTGGAGAAGTTTCTCCCTATCACTCAGAGAGAGAGATCTATCGGAGGTAGTTTGAGCATCTCCAGCAGGGTTCTATGATCGTTACTCAGTATGAAACCAGATTCATTGACTTGGCCCGTCATGCTCTTATCATACTTCCCACCGAGAGAGAGAGGGTGAGGAGGTTCATTGAGGGACTTATCTAGCTGATTCGACTTCAGATGGCTAATGAGACATGGAGTGAGATTTATTTTCAGGAGGCTGCCAATGTGGCCAGGAGAGTTGAGATGGTTCTGTCCAAGGGGGGTGGTCAAGGGTCTGACAAGAGGCCTCGTCATTCAGGCAGATTCAGTGGTGCCTCATCTGGAGGCAGGGATTCGTATGGTAGAGGCCATCCTTCTAGGACCTTTCAATCAACACTTCAGGTCTTTCACAGTGCTTCAGGTGGCCGTAGTTCTCATATGCAGTATTCTAATCAGCAGTCCTATAGTACACCACCAGCTCCTATTAGTGCACCGCCGCTTCAGAGTTTTCAGGGTCGTCAGCCCTAGAAACTGAGGGCTTGTTTTACTTATGGAAACATGATGCACATTGCTAGATATTGCCCTCGAGCACCAAATAGTTCTCAACAACAGGGTTCTCATGCTATGATACAAGCACCAGGTGTCCCACCGCCCGCTTCGCCCGCTCCGCCAGCTAGGTGTGGGGGTAGAGGTGCTAGAGGTGGAGATAGAGGTATTAAAGATAGAGGTCAGGCAGCTAGAGGTGAAGGCCAACCAGTAGCAGGCCGTCCTAGAGATGTAGTTCAGGGTGGTGGGGCCCAGCCCCGATGTTATACTATTCCAACCAGGCCTGAGGCTGAGGCTTCCGATGCAGTTATCATAGGTACCGTTTTGGTTTGTTGCAGAGATGATTCAGTTTTATTTGATCTAGGGTCTACGTACTCCTATGTGTCATCTTATTTTGCACCGTATCTGGTCATGCCTAGTGATTCCTTGAGTGCCTCTATATATATGTCTACACAGGTGGGTGATTCTATTGTGGTAGATCGAGTCCATCGTTTGTGTATAGTTGTGATTGGGGGTCTTGAGACTCGTGTAGATTTGTTACTTCTAGACATGGTTGATTTTGATGTCACATTGGGGATGGACTGGTTATCACCTTACCACGCCATCTTGGACTGTCATGCTAAGACTGTAACCTTAGCCTTGCCGGGTTTACCTCGTTTAGAGTGGAGAGGGACTCCTGGTCATTCTACCTATAGTGTTATCTCTTATGTGAAGGCTCGGTGTATGGTCGAGAAGGGGTTTTTGGCCTATTTGGCATATGTTCGTGATTCTAGTGCCGAAGTTCCTTCTATTGATTCTGTGCCTGTTGTTCATGAGTTCCTGAGGTATTTCATTCAGTCCTGTCGGGAATGCCAGCCGACAAGGATATTGACTTCTGCATTGATTTGTCTCTGGGCACTCAGCCCATTTCTATCCCTCCGTATCGTATAGCCCGACCTGAGTTGAAAAGTTGAAGGAGCAGTTGCAAGACTTGCTTGAAAAATGTTCCATTAGACCTAGTGTTTTGCCTTGGAGTGCGCCGGTCTTATTTGTTAAAAAGAAGGCCGGATCGATGAGAATGTGCATAAATTACCGGCAGTTTAACAAAGTTACAATCAAGAATAAGTATCTATTACCGAGGATTGATGATTTTTTTGATCAGCTTCAGGGTGCTAAGGTATTTTCAAAGATTGACTTGAGATCTAGCTACCATCAGTTGAGGATTAGAGCATCTGATATCCCTAAGACAATTTTCCGCACTCGGTATGGGCATTGATGATATTTTGATCTATTCTTGCAGCCGGGAGGAGCATGAGCAGCATCTTAGAGTGGTTTTTTAGACTTTGATGGATAGTCAATTGTATGCCAGGTTTTCGAAATGTGAGTTCTGGTTGAGTTCAGTTGCATTCTTGGGTCATGTTGTATCAGCAAAGGGTATTCAAGTTGATTCGAAGAAGATAGAGGCAGTCAAGGACTGGCCTATGCCCACATCAGCTACAGAGATCCGAAGTTTCTTGGGTTTGACAGGCTACTATTGTCAATTTGTAGAGGGATTTTCGTCTATTGCATCCCCAATGTCCAAGTT